TGAAATTACAACTTTATGGGGGCTGATATTGCACATATTCACGGATTCCCTGTTTAACTTTATTTCCTTTATGACTGTATGGTACCTTAAAAAAACATTATTGCAGTTAGTGACCTGTCGCATTTTATTCTGATCTATTAAATAGGCTCTTACTGTAACTGTTTCTTAATTATAAGTGAAATAAAACATCTAAACTTGAAGGAAAAGTTTAAAAGTGGTCACAGCTGCTGTCTCAGGTCAACACGGGTCCCGCCACCTTTCTGACACTCATTACTTCTGTCCAATACATCCACATGATCTGACACACTCAGACACATACAGACAGTATTCAGTTCAGATTGCAGGATTGTTTACAAGATGAGCTATCTCAGCTGACTGGCCTCACGACTCAAGCTCTGCAAGTGTGTTTCCATGGTAACCAAGTATAGTATTGAGGAGAGGAGCAACGAGTGAGAGACACTGAAGCTAACCCTGAGCAATGTCTCCTCTCTATTCAATCCTCTCCCTGTCTGTTATTTCTTTCAGCTGTGGGTTGAATATCTCGTTAGCGCCATGGTGTGCCAGTTACGTTTTTTAAGAAAAAAAAAATGTGTGTTGACAATATTTCTGCTAATACAACTTTGTTTGTAATTCATTAAGATTAATGTACAGCTCCAATTCAGCAAAGATGAACTCATAATTGATTTATATTTCAAAATGTTCTTGTCTCCAGGTAATGAAAGATGTTCTGATACCACTTGGCACCAAATGAAACAACCTTAGACAGTAACAACTAAGTGGACATTGTCACCTTGACGTCACATTGATTTGTGGACTACCCTTTTATAGCCTATAGTTTGGCATTCATCTTGGTTTTTGGACATTGCCAACTTTTTGGACCAGAGAGACAAGAGAGGGTGGAGCTAAGTACAACCAAATTGTAATCAAAACACTTTAAGGTGGTTGTAAACGGGACATTTTTAGGCAATCAATCAATGTTTATTTATATAGCCCAATATCACAAATGTTACATTTGTCTCAGTGGACTTCACAGTTTGTACAGAATATCAGTATGACAATACGACACCCTCTGTCATTAGACCCTCACATCGTACAAAGAAAAACTTCCAGAGAAAACACATAGTTTAAAGGGAAACATGGGAGAAACCTCAGGGAGAGCAACAGAGGAGGGATCCCTCTCCCAAGGCTACTTTTCTATTTACTATAAGGAAGTGAAAAGGATTTGTTTTAAGACAAAAAACACCCAAACCGGACGAGGCCTGGTCGCGATATGTCAATCACAAGTTAGCCACACCTTAAAGCACACACGGCATTGTCTTTAAAATGAGACAATATTGTCCTAAATGACCATCATAGGCTACTGTATCAAAAAGATGTTAACTACTAATTGAGACCATAACCTCAAATGTTCTTTCAGATAATAAACCAAGTGAGAAGCAGGGAGATTTTCTCATAGCCTTTTATACAATCTGGCCCGTAATAAGTTTCAAATGAAGGTAAAAACGAGTTATTTATTTAAAGTATGTATAAAGCTTACGCTAGATCCTCAACTGCATAGTGAATGTGAAGTGAAAGTATACAATGGAAGCACTGAAGGACCTAATGATCTGATGTTACTGTTGTCATGCACTTTTGGCAGTGATGGATTTGTTCATTTCCAAACTGAACAGCAAATGATTCTCTGAAGACAGCATTTCTAGGAACATATGAAAAAGCTGATTTGTATATTTCTCAGTTGTGGTGCATGATAGGGGAAAACTTGGGTGTAAAATAGATTCAGTGTTAAAGACGCTGAATAAATGGTGAGTGTGTGTTTTTGGTGTGAATGTTAGCCGTGCCATCAGTGGCATCATGCCTGGACAGAGTGGAGGGCATTATCACTAGAATCATCTGGGACACAATCAGCAATCAAGCAAACGGAACACAAAGTTCCAGCTGAACTTAACAGACACCACGCATAATTAAACAGGAATCTGAATGCACAGAGTTTCTCTTGCAATTCACATGTGTGCATGCAACCGATCACACGGTCTGACAAATAATTGAAGTATCTCACACACACTCAATATAGTTAACCACGCAATCCTATTGAATCATAAATATGTGTGCATCCATCGGATTATTTCACATATGTATTGCACTGCCTAGCTTCTGAGAAGGATGCCGTTTTTAAAACAGAGCACAACTTGCCTTGAAGGGGAAGCTTAAGGTGGTGAAAAACAAAGGATATCTCTACTTCCATTGCCCTGATTTAATATATGAATAAAACAACAGTGCAAACTGCAAAGTAAGCCTGCACTGCTTTATTTTTCGCCTTTCCTGGAATGCAGGGGGGCCTTTAAATGTTGAGGTGGTTACATAATTGGCAATGCAAGGTAATGCATTCAACCAGCAGCAGATAACAGTCTCAGTGGCAAGTACACAGTCAACAGGGGATCAGACTCTCACCAGGAAAAAACATTAAGACCAGGAGCTCAAACCTCTAAAAACCCACTCCGTTAAAAAAAAAGAAAAAAAAAAAAGGTACAATCAGTACAATATGGCTCTTTGGTTACATCTAGTGGCAGTCACAGGGAACTACATGCAAGTGTGTCTCACGCTCCATTGTCGGATTTGACTCGCTAATTTCAATTTTAAGTAACCAGTGTAGAAAAGATCATAGGGTGCTGAAGAACTTAAAGATCTCCTATCATGCTATTTTTAGGCATATATTATGGGTCTCATATATAAAAAACACGTTTATGATGCGTTTTGCTAAAAATACCAAACAGATCATGCATTTTAGACATCCCTCATGTGCCCCCGTTTTTAGAGATTTTGGTACGGAGGAAAAGAGAGAGGGTTTTGTTTTGACACTTTGTGAGTTCCCTTACACACCGAGGACACATATGGATGTATAAAAGACATCAAAAAGTGCATTTTCATGATAGGAGACCTTTGAATGTACATGTTATAAGAAATGTTAATAGGCAGCCTCCCAGTGTTTCTTATATCTACCCAATATTTTACACTGAGGGTTCAATGCCTCCAACTGTAGTAAAATAATTTCATTTCTAGACCTCTAAAAAGATATGTGATGTGCCAAATTCTACCTGCACCTTGTGCTTGTGTAACAAATACAACACTACATCAGGAGCATTACAGTTAGTTCATTCATCATGGAACCATAGTTATTACTGTAAGCAGAGTGTTGCATCAGCAGTCAGTAAATAGCAGCAGTTATTGAAACAGAGGAGTGATTAGTAAGATAAATTATGGTTATGTATGACAACATGGGATTTCTGCATTTTACATAATCTATGATCTGGGAATGATGGTAAAAAAAAATGATCCAACAATGAAAAAGGTGTTTTTCACAGGGAAACACTCAAACAAATATTACTCAATTCAAGTAATTACTAATAACAAAACACAATAGCATATCGCATTGCTTCCTATGCGTTTGCTGTGTCAAAAAGTAATGGCAAAAAGGTATGAATGTATTTTATGTGGATAAATTGTTATTCTATAAATTGTTATGCTATAATATATAGATGAACTCAGACGATTGCTAAAAAAACATCATGTAGGATTTTCTGTGAAATGGCAAGATGGGTGGGAAGAGGGGGGGACGGGGTGGCATGGGAAAGGGATTGCCTATATTTTTTCTTTCTTTGTCTTTTCTTTTTGTATTGTCTATATTGTCTATATAATTTGTATCTGTATAAGTCCCTCTTTGCTGAGGGCAAAAAAAACAAAACAATAAAAAGTTGGTCACAAAAAAAAAGAAAAAGTAATGGCACTTCAATGCTGCACCCTTGAGGCAGACATAAACATTGTTCTGCAATCTAAAGCCAGCCATTCTGAAATATACACTCAATAGACAAATAAAAACTTGTGCCTTTGATAGACACTTTAATGATATGTTTTTCACTTTAAATTCCCATTTTCCACTCTGTCATCTATAGTTATTTCAAGAATGACATTCCATTTAATACATTTTATTTGATGATTTCTATTTCCTATAGTATCATATGCAATGATGTATAACATTAAATTACTTACATGTTTTATGAGAACAGAAAAACAGAAAATGTAGGCTTTAAAGAGGACAAATTATGCTCATTTCCAGGTTCATATTTTGATCCTACTGTGACATGTTTACATGCTTTAATGTTAAAAAGGGTCTTTATTTTTCTTACACTGCCTGTGCTGTTGACGGGAATGTAAGCCTTTGCAGAACATCTCCATGGATAAAACCTATATAAAACACACTACAGCCAAGGGAGAACCCCAAAAGGCATAATAGGTCCTCTTTAACAATAAAAGGTCAATAGAGCAAAATTGCATTAGCTATATTAAATGGTGTGTAATCCATGTAAAAATAAACTGTAGTAATATTTATTCTGTATTTCATTAAATGCATGTCTCAGATAGAGTCCTGATAAGTATACCGCTGCTGTATAGTACTACAGTACAGTCCTGGGTGGTTTCTCCTGTTACAGGGCAATGGTACGGTGTTAACTGTAATTATGCCTCTGTGACCACTGTATGATATTTCTTAATTAATGGTTAGGGGTGAGGTAAACAGACTTTAAGGTCAAACAGAAAATGTTTGGCTTTGCCTGTCCCTTAAATTTGTCTTGTAAAGTTTGACACACCTCGAAGTGTCCTAGCTCTCATGTAAATACAATACAAATGGAAAGAGAAAGAAACAACTAAGACGGGAATGTTTTTACTTTAAAGAAAGTTTGTTTTTTTAGACTGTCTGACTCACGGTGTGTTTATGGAAGCTCCCACACACAAGCAAATGAGTTGGGAGGTGACAAGTCTTCTCAGTAGTCGATAACACCATAAGACTTCTTATATATGGCCCTGATTTTATAGATGTATCTCTTAAAGCCTAGAGTGTGTTATGTTCATATACTGGATATATTGTACGTTTTTAAATATGTTGTGTGGGATTGTAAAACTGAAATTAATAAACTAATCTACATCTAAAACATTTTTGCAAAAGAGAAAAATGTCAGCACTAGGCAAGGCAAGTTTATTTATAAATAAATGAAAGACATTAAGAAAATGGCATTTAAAAACAGTCTCACCAACTGTTTGAGACTTTAAAATATGACTGCTAGATCTATAAGAGACAGACAAGGATATATTTATTATGTAGACATTTTTTTTTTACATCAAACTAGAATTTATACAAATTTAAATCATAACTCCAATCTGATGATTCAGTCTCAGTTCTCCCTCTTATTTCATCAGGAGTCATCATTTTTTACCCTCCTCCGTGTCCAAATCCTCAGATCGAAGGTGCATCTCTCTATTGAAATAAATAATAATCACTATTAGTATTGTTGAAATTGACAGGTCGTTTTAGTACAAACAAATACTGCTCCAATCCACAAATACTATATACAGTTCACACCAATGCCTGTTGGCTGGAGGCTTTATCATCCTTGTCACACTACTCAACATGGTAGAAATCAGTTGGGACTGCCTCATTTATCTATATTAATCCAAAATGTAAAATGAATGTACTTATTGTACAGCTAGAGTAAATGTGAGGACTTACTATATGGGATTAGTTTTGTATCATAAAGATAAAGCAACACTTTCTCAGAATAAAGCAAAACTATGAGTTTAAAAGAAAACAAAACTGAGTCAAGCAAAATTAAATAAATTTCAAAAATAAAACTATAAGTTGCAAACAAATCATTTGTGTAATCATGTAAACTGTAAGTCTTTTTTCTTTGTTTTAACATAGGTTTTTGTTTGCAGTTCTTGTTTCTTCTTTCTCAATGATCAGACTTTTGCTCTCGCTGCAGCTTTCTCTTTTGCGCTCCCTCATTTTTTGTTTGAGATTCTGACACAAACGTCCCAGGTGGGTGGGACTTTCAGGGGTGTGTCCCCATTGGCTACTCAGTTTTTGAGTGACAGCCCTTGCATCTATAAAATAAATAGACAGGCACTTTATCAATCCCAAATTGGGAAATTATTTAACAGCAGCAGTGTGTTCAGGTATTAAAATATTTAAAGTTGGAATAAAGTCTAAACTACACAACACAAGTATAATGCACAGCAATCCATAAGATAAGCCCGATATGTTCATGACACTCCCCAGGAGACACCAACACTAACGTGGCCGAGTGGACTCCGGAGTTTGCTGCATGAGCTGCACTGTATGATCTGTGGTGTAGTGGGCTGTCACTCAAAAACTGAGTAGCCAATGGGGACACACCCCTGAAAGTCCCACCCACCTGGGATGTTTGTGTCAATCTCAAACAAAAAATGAGGGCGCGCAAACGAGAAAGCTGCAGCGAGAGCAAAAATCTGATCATTGAGAAAGAAGAAACAAGAACTGCAAACAAAAACCTATGTTAAAACAAAGAAAAAATACTTATAGTTTACATGATTACACAAATGATTTGTTTGCAACTTATAGTTTTATTTTTGAAATTTATTTTATTTTGCTTGAGTTAGTTTTTTTTTCTATTAAACTCATAGTTTTGCTTTATTCTGAGAAAGTGTTGCTTTATCTTTATGATACAAAACTAATCCCATATTACTACAGATCTGTCCTTTCCAAAAGAACATGTCAGCCATCTCATGTACTCCTCTTGCACCTGTACAACCCAAACACAATTCAATGTCATTCAAAATACACAAAACTACAAACTGAAGTATTACATAAAAGTAAATATACCTGATCTACAGAACACACGCTAGAATATCCACCTTATCAAAATTTAAATATCATCTTAGCTCTTCTGTTTCCCAAATGCAAATGAATGTTTATTGAATTATAAGAAGTTAAATTATATTTTCAAGAATTCAACAACGATCAAGCTGAAGACTACCTCCTTGTTGAGCGCACAGTGGACGATGAAGAGGAAGGTGCCCTGCTGGGAGTTAAGAATTATGAAGAGGACCCGGAAGCAAAGGTTTAACTGGTAGAGACCCAGCATCCAGGTACAGCCCAGTATGACGAACCGGGCCAAGATCTTGAACACAATCAACCTGTTAAGAATAAGAAAGTTCTTCAACATTCAGAACATTTCCGATCTTTATTTCTTTGCAATCTGGGTCTCAGACTAGAGTAGCAAGGAACAACATCTAATTGAGCTTAATGAGGGGAAAAAAGTGGTGTGGAACATTACACCCTTTTCACCCTCAATGACTGCCATCTTGGCTTACCAACAGAAGTTAGTGGCTCTGGTCAGCAATCCTAACATTTGGTGAGGCACAATTTTGAGACAACAAAGCCCAAGTTACATTTCTAAAAGTGCACCAGTGTTTACAGGCTAGCCTACAACATGGCAGTGTATCAGGAAGTTTATGAATTTGGAACCAGAAATAGTGCTCTCTCTTGTGTGCAGGCGAACAAAAAGTTATTGTGAAAGTTCTCAATTTGATATCAGAAAAAGTTAGCACTTTTCAACCCCTCACTTATTTATACTTCCTTGTTAGTTTCACTTTTGCCTCTAATCCCACCACAGTGATACATGAGATAAATCACTCATGTGGCGTAGAAAATGAAAAGGGCAAATATGTCATTGTGTTGCCCAGCAATCAATTGCTCTTCACTAGGAATTCAGACGTGCATTGAAAGAATTAAAACAATATTGTCAATAATTAGTGCATGTTGACTTGTTTCTCAGTTACCTACAAATTGGTATTCAGCTAGCTAACAAAATGTCTACAAGTTATAATTGGTAAGGTTATAACTAGGGCAAGTTACATTTAAAGAATACATCAGGCTGAGCTAAATTAATCTATATTGAAATGAATGGGATGGGATATGTGATATACTCACTGCGAGGATAACAATCACAGGGCCTGTTAAAGCCCAGGTGAAATGTTGCTTCCTAGAAAGCCAGCACCTGAAACAGAATCGAACAATTCAACATAGATGCTGTCCTACAGGAGAATATGAATTCATAACATATCGTGATTTTGATTACATTTTATTTAAGGTACCGGTAGATGCTATTTACACCCGGGTGTCCATAGCTAACAATGCTATTTGCACCTGTGTGTCCATAATAGCTAACAAGGCTATTTACACCCATGTGTCCATAGCTAACAATACTATTTACACCCTGGCTACACAATTACAATATGTAAGTAGCACCAAAATGCAGATACAACATTTATCATTTGCATAGGCATATTACTATTTTGCATTATTGTTGTTAGCTTATTTTATCACATGTCATTAAAGCTTTCATATATTGACAAGGAACAACAATAAGGCACTCCCTATAAGTGACAATGTCCAATGCTGCAGTGGCTGTAATTAAAAAGGTTTATACAAGTCGACTTCTCCAGGACAGAGGGCCACACTCACACCTCACATTAAATTGAGGAGAGGATTTTCTTTTGTGAGTGCAAAAACAGTGATAGAAGTTAATGGCAGTAAAATGTTTGCCATATAATAAACAACTTTGCAGACTGCTAGTGTTAGCATGCTAGCCAGTTTACCACTAACTTAACCCAAGTCCTTTCCCATGCAACTAAATATTACCACTTGCAATAAGAATGACTTGTGGGTTGTCAATATCCTAAAAGCAATTGCGTATCATTTGTCAGGTCTGTCATCATTATACATGCCGTCTTTTTTTTCTAAACCTGAAGCTTTCAACATCTGAATCGTGGCTCCACACGCGGGCTCAAAACTGTTTTTAGGGAGGCCCAGTGTATGCTAGTGATAAAAACATACATACATTTAAAAAGATCACATTGAATAGAATAAATAGGTATGATTTGGTAAATAGGAGTGCCGTCTAGAAGTTTTTAGCAGGATGTTTTCGAGGCTCTCCTCAAAGCCATATGAAAACATGAATTCACTCACAGAAGACAAACAAGCAGGTAGAGCAGTTCATTATCCATGGGCTCACAGAACAGTCATTTTCAGTTGACCATGTGACCTCATGTTCTTTGCACAAACACAGCAAACAGGTAAATGATGACACACAGCTTTTGTTTCATACATCATCAGTCAAACAGTAAGTTGAATACGTTTTCCTTAAGTCATTCTAGTGTATTTTTCTTCGACTTACCAGTGCTGAGGGTGCTGTTGTTCTGGAGGACATCTTGGCCAGAGCAAAAGTTTCACTTCATTAAGCAGAACTCTTAAATACAGGAAGTGTCCAATCAGAATATACCAAGTACATGTCACATGATGGGGGGGATTGGGATTTGCAGTCTGAAGATTGTGCATTTGTTTATAAATGATTAGCTTTTTGGGAGCTTGTGTTTTAATATGAATAATTAACACAATATTGATACTTGCAGATGTGTTTTTCTTTGTGTATTAGAAATGTAGGTGGGGTTGCTTGTCTTTGTGTTACCCAAGTTTTTTTTTTTAATGGTCTGATCTTTCATTGAATATGTTCCCCTTTGTCTTTTTTTGTGAGGTTTGTTTAGTCTCTTCATTCTTGTTAAGTTCATTTTAAGATAGCATAGTCTGAATCAAGTTCTTTTGATATACATCTTTTTTTTTTAATATTACATTTATTACGAAAGTGTTTGTGAAACACAACTTTATTTTTAACTCAGTATACTGCAAGGGGTTTTCCACAAATGAAATGTATTAGCCGGAGAATGCCTTTATACATATCCTGTATGTGCAGGTAAGGGGTGTCGAAGCAGTCGGTTTATTTCAGTAAAAAAACTGGCAAAACTCAGATTTAACAGAGATTTATTATGGACTCAAAACAATATAATGTCATAAGACAAAGTTCTTAAAATATACACATTATTTCACAAATATACGTTGTCATGCAGCAACCAGAACACCCACTTGTGCTAAGGAAAAGTTTCAAACAACAGCAACTTCTCTCCACTTATGCTACTAAAAGCATGTATTTTTGGTCAAAATAAATAGCGACGAGCCTTGTCACAAACATGCAGCTGTTCACTTCACAATTGAGTGATTGAAATCAGATTGTATTAGCTTGTATATTAGAAAGTTGCTAAAGCTATTGTACATGTTTGCATATACAGTATTACTAAACAGAAACATATATTTTAAGCAGAGGAAAATAATTGCCATGATGACAACATCATTGTTTTCAGATTTTGTTAAAATATATTGCCTTTTGTGATATGAATAAAAGTAGATACAGCTGAGGCAGACACACACAAGCCTATATACATTTGATGACTTTCATGCCCTACAATAAAACATAATTAATTAACCATTAACTAATGGTTCCGAGTGGGTAAGGCTTGCATTTTTTCTCTCTGTCTTCCATTTCTCCTTTGTCATTCTCACTCCATCACTATTAGCTTGTTTAATCTTCAGCCTTGTCAAAGTCCTCGGAGACTGATGGTGCATCTCTCTGTAAAAAGAAATCATGAAATAAATGCTAAACATTGCAGGACATTTGACATAAATCTTTATACAGATCGGTGAACTACAAGACTTTTTGAAAAATGTCTTGTATACATAGATTCACATTATGCAGTAAAACCAGGTTCATTTAGGACATTGTTTAGGATTGTTTTGTCAATTTATCACACTATATTTTTGCATTTTTAATTTTGATTGTCTTTTAATAGCTACAAAGACACCTCAAAAAGAAAAAAGGGTATACTAAAATCAGTGGTGGAAGAAGTTATTTTACTAGCAACATCACATTTTTTCTGCTGCTGAATATCCTAACCTATTATAGTATATTAAACAAAATGTGTAAAGTAACTTAAGCTGTCGAATAATTGCAGTGGAGTAAAAAGTACAATATTGGATTCCAAAATGTAGTGGAGTAAAAGTATAAAGTATCATGAAAATACTCAGGTAAAGTACAAGTATACCTCAAAATTCTACTGAAGTACAGTACTTGAATAAATGTACCTTAATGCATTTCACCACTGACTAAAAGAAATGTAAAGGTTTCATTTTGTTAAAGAGTTATCATGCATTGTGGTTGGGTCTGTTCAAACGTTACCACAGATCCTCCTTGTTTTGGGGCTTTTTAAATTGAAAAGAACAGGTCAGCCATTTAATGTATTCATCTCTAACTAGAAAACACAATGAAATACAACTTGTTAAGCGTTATTGCTACCAAAAAGAAATATGGTTGTTTGTATTCAGCCTTCATTGTTAGTAGTAGTGCACTATAAATGAAAATTGTATCAGAGTCATCTGCATAAAGAGCGTACCTCCTTGTTGAGCAGGCAGTGGACAACGAAGAGGAAGGTGCCCTGCTGGGAGTTAAGAATGATGAAGAGGACCTGGAAGAAGAGGTTGGACTGGTACAGGCCCAGAATCCAGGTACAGCCCAGTATGACAAACTGGGCCACAATCTTGAACAGAATCAGCCTACAAACAATGAGAATTGAATGAGCTTTTATGTTAAGAATTGTGGAAACTGAATTTGTAACACTTTTTACATTGCCACTTCCTCTATCATTTGGCCAACTTTACATAACAAAGTATAAATACATTAAGGATAGAATATTCAATTGTTAATCTGCATAAGACTATGAAAAACATTAAAATGGACATTATTTATATACTGTCAGATATGGTTATACTGTAATTACAATATATACAAATTGTCACCTTCAACTGACTTGTTTTTATCTTTCATATCTATGCAAAGCCAACCTAGAACTTATACACTGACTATACATACGTGGTGTCTTTAGACTGAGAAGCACCGCTCTTCATGTTGATCAGGGTGGCTCTCAGACTCCATAGAGTAGCAAGGAACAATATCCAATTGAGCTTCAAGAAAAAAAAGATGAGTCCACAGCTGGAAAAGACTACTCTTTGTAGACTACCACTGCTTAACCTTTTCACTGTCAGATTTCTGGCTAATCACTGCATGTTCCAGGGACATTTCACTGTGTGGCTCCCCATCAACAATTATAACTTACAAGTTACAACTATGATACTCACTCCAAGGATAAGGATCACAGGGCCTGTTAAAGCCCAGTTGAAATTGCGCGTCCTAGAGAGCCAGCACCTGAAACAGAATCAAACAAACAATCCATGCAACATAGATGCTGTCCTACGGGAGAATATGAATTTATTTATTACTGTTTGTCTCACTCACACTTCTGCCGCAGTTGCACCATATCCGTCTGAATATATCGCTGCTGAAACACCCACAATCACAAAGGGAACACCGTAGCCAATCACAAAGAGAATTGGCTTGGGGAGGCCATCTCTCTGGATGACCTGCACCTTGGTGAGTCTCCGCACCAACAGGTGAAGCTGTAGTGCCTCCAGCAGCATCCACACAAAACCAGCTACAATTAAGAAGTGCAGGAGCCCCGCCATGACGGTGCAGGCCAGCTGTGGAGACACAAGTAGTACCGTGAAAACAAAGTGAAATTAACCTCAGCAAAGGAGGGTTCAGGTAATACATGTCTGAAAGACCTTATCAAGTATTTTTTTAATAAAGAGTTCCTATTATTTCTGGCAGGGTTTTTTCTTTCCTGTAATGTGTTAAAGGTTTTTGTCCATGATAATAGTCTGCATAGGCTAAAACCCCAATGTTCACACATTTTGTACATTATTAACTAAGGGGCATGACATCTCTAAGCGGTTGACCAATCAGAACAGACCGGGCCAGCTAACCAATCAGAGCAGATTGGGCTCTGGTTTCAGACAGAGGGTGAAATGAGGTGATGCAAGCACAGGCAGTATGAGAAAAATAAAGCATTTTCTCTACAGTAAAGCATGTACACTTGTCACAGTAGAGGCACAAAATACAAATATGAACCTGAAAATGAGCATAGGTCCACTTTAGAACAAAATCAATTGCATTTTGCCTTACTGTACCTCTTCATCAGTATATTTGTCATTCCACAGCAGCAGCAGATGGGAGAAGAAGAGGCAGATGCAGAGGTTAAGACGGGCGGTGTTGTTGATCTTGGGGTTCCAGCTACACAGGAGGAAAGTGAAGATGGCCAAACCAAAGAATAATAATCCGACAATCACGCAGATTCTGTTTAGCCACTCTAAGAAAGGATTTGGTGGTGCCGGCTGAAAAGACAAAGCACACAGGCAAACGCATGCTGCGATCAAACTGGCCTTATGTGGGGGAACCTGTATTAGCAAATGTACTCCCATACACCAATCATTAAAGGTCACCTATTATGCAAAATCCACTTTTTCATGTCTTTTATACATAAACATGTGTCAAGAGATTCTGGAAGTTTCAGGAAAAAAGATTCTCTCTCTTTTTGTCCTGATCCATTTATATAAAAACCTGTCTGAAAATGAGCTGATCAGATTTTGGCTACTTAATGATGTCATAACGATTTTTTGGCTTGTGTAACCATTAGCCAATCACCAACCAAGGTAACCCCCGCCCACCTTATCACCTGAATCTCCTCCTATAGCACCATTAGGTTCTTCTTAACCAAATATCTCTCAGAGGGTCGTGGGGAGGGCCTCCTTATTTTCATCTAAAGTAAAAGGCACAGAATCAGCACTTTTGAAACAGGGCTGAAACAGAGGGGTGTATGGGATGCTACAGTGGGTGATCTGTTGGGTATTTCAAGCCAAACACTTCAGAGACATGTTTTGTATATATCTGAGACCTATTATATATTGATAAAAAACAGTATAATAGGGGACCTTTAATACCTCCCCAATCTGCATGATGAAAAACATCTATTATGATTTTGACATTGGCAACAATATTTGACCATACACAAAAAAACCTGACATACATCCCCAATCTGCATGATGAGGGCGAATGTGGATAGATGGGAGCAGCTGCACACTGTGTAGTTTTCATTGGTGTATGCGACCCAACAGCCCTCCAATGACCAACTCATCGTGTCTTCCCCTATCGTCTCCTCTGTTTTATCCTCCCAGTAGACACAGGTCATCAAACCATTTTCAGGTGCTGTCTGATGAAACCAGTGAAAGATTTTAAGATATGTTGAAAGATATCATGTTGTATCTTATCTTAAAAGGCAGGTGGATGGATCAACTGGGAATCACCTTCTTATGTTGGATGGTGAAGTTGACAGGCTCGGTGAGGTTGGTGTTGTTCATTGACGTTAAGATGGCAGTCATGACATCCGAGTACATCTCTGTCTGGTTCTCTGTTTTAAAGTATTGATGGCTAAGAAGACTCTCCATCCCATTTAATGTGATGAAGGCAA